TAGTTCATGAAAAGTCTATAAAGAAGACTCTATAAACATTTCAAATAATCGGTCAAATAGAAGTTGATAAATACGATACTCATAATATCGAAATATAATATATATTATATCGAAAAAGATAGTTTCGAGGAAAACGCATTTAAAATTTTGCGAAAGAAGGAAACATATGAGGATTATCGTGGTTAAAACTGCTATATCTCCCAAAATTATTCAAATTTTGAAAAATTCTCTTCAACAATATGTGTATTGTTGTGAATAAACTTCAAAAATAATAAAAAAACGATTTCTTTAAACTTCTAGTCCAGAGAACGTATTAATTCCATTCTAGCTAAAATAGATTTCTTATCTAAAATATTATGTATATAGTAAGAAGTCAAAATCATAACGAAAGTATTGTACCCTAAGTATTTTAAGGAATATTAATTAATAATAATACAAATATCAGAAACAAATATTTTTATACAATGTTTCATGTTTTGCTATCAATTTTTATTATCAAACACACAAAGTTTTATCTCATTCAGACTTTCTCATATATACAAAATTCGCTATATCCTCTCTAAAAACAAAATTTAATATCGGTCATAAGTGTAAAGCTGATATCAAAGTTAATTTACAAAAAAATCCTCTAACGATGAGCAAAAATACACTTTTCAAATACATTTTCACTTATACATCTTCACATTTGAATTTAATTCGAGAAAACTCTAGAAACTTACGATTATATTTTGTCAACACTTGTCCCGTTTATACCATTACTTGATTTACACACAAATCGATAATACTTTCCTTATGTATATATAACTTATCCGAAGATATATTTGATTTGAATCAAATAACGACAATTAGACTATATACGAACTTACAAGATACTTGTTAATATTTATATATAAGTTCAAAGACTTATGAATGCAAAAATAAGAGTTTCAACATATTATTTCTAAGATGCATATTGATCTACGAGATCTTAGCTTCTTAAAGCACTGACAATGTAAAAATCTATTCCTCTTATCATATGTTTTAAACATTATAATTAATTACTCAAAAGTTCAACTCGATAGTCTAGACATAATATCTCATTATGAAATAGCACCGAATACATGCGGCTGAAGCAATTTTTCCATACAAAACACATTTCTATCAATTGGCGTTGAATTTAATAAATAAAATTAACAAAATATAGGACAATATTTATAAAAAAAGTAGTTTCGAGCACGAGGCAGTTCAGATAATTGAGAGAGTTCAGCGATTTCTTTGTGAAATAACATACATTAACACATGTTAGATTTTTACGTATAATTTTCACGTAAGGATTTAGGAAACTTTAGTATTTAAAATTTTTGAATAAATGACTTCTTACATATTATTATATTGATCCATTCTATCGTTCGTAATGATTCAAATGTCAAATTGAAGAATAATAAATTCAAACAAAAAGATCGTAGTGCAAAATATGCATTGAAATTCTTTTTTTATTGCAAAAATTTTGAACACTATCTTTTCCAGGAGAGTTGTGAGAGATGCGTGGTTGCAAACAATAACAACTTGGAAGTAGAATTCGACTTTTTTATAAATAATTATATTTATTTTTCTCTAATGAAGAATTATTTAGTTAAATAATTGCAAAATTATATATGTTAGTATTTGCTTATTTTTTTAAATCACTCGATATGTGAATAAGTCTTATCAAAAATTAATTAATTAATTTACATTTATTAAATAAATATTTATATGAGTTAAAGTAGTAAGAACTTTAATCTTACTACCATAGGTTCAATGTTCTATTACCGCCTCGGAAATCTGATATCAAGAAGTAGTGATATCAGTTATCACTTCAATATATAGATCTAATTATGATTTCAAGTAAAAATAGTCTTTGAGGTATATAGGGTAGGGCACAAAGGTCTAATTTTACTTTGAGCAATTATATTGTGAAAACCGAACTAATTTATCTAAAAAATAAGATACAAAAAATAAACAACTATTTGACTACGTTCAGTAAAATTCCCGGATAATGAGTAACAATAAGTAAAGTTTCAGTTTGCTCTTTTTACCCTATCCACGTGTAAGCTTTTATAGAGATTATATAAAAAAAGGTTGAATCTAACTTAAAAATAACAATACAGATTATACCGGAATTAAATAACGTAGACTTAAAAATTATATTAAGGTTTCGTAAACTAAACACCAGTGGTAACAACTAAAGAAAATACTTTTGTTATTGTCGTTTATCTCCATGTAGCAAAGTCGCAAGAACCAAAATGATGGCTGGTTATACATCTTTTTCCCCCTACTTTCAAACATTGTTGGTAAAATTTTTTTAACTTTACTTCTTTTTGAGATATTGGTAGTGGATCTTTTTACCCGCAAACCTTTAAGCTCCGCTCTAAGAGCAATATGTTAACAACTAATATTATAAAAGCTTAAAGAACTCATAATATTTCTGATTGTATATCAATAATACTAATAATAATAAAATTCATGATTTCGGATAATTGAAAATTGTTAGTATGATTAGTATCAAATAGCTTATTCGTATATTAATCAATCGTTACAATTGCGTCAATGCTAAAAATTATCAATTATGCGAAAGATTACCGAAAATTTCGCTTAACCTTAAACATTGTAAGCCATTAACCCGTCTGGAATAATTTTGATAATATATTAATTACATCACTTTAAGCTAAAACGTCCTCGGTTTATCATCATTTAATACATCGTATCAATAATTTAATTGCGCATTCTAATTATAAAGCTGTTATGCATTTGATAATAATTACAAGTGGACGAACTGTAAGGAAATAAATTTGAATTATCACTTTAAATGTTCATTCATGTAATTGCTGACATAGTAAAACTAGTGGTATGATAAACACAAGGTTACAAAAGATAATAGCTACGAAACTGTTACATTAAATCTTTTTAACATTACAGTCAATTTTAAAAATATTAACCATTAGTGTATTAGAATTAATAAATTCAGTACAAAATTAAATTAAATTTCATATACATATTATTTACATTTAATATACTCACCACCGATCGCTTCACCACCGATATCTCAAAAACAAATAAAGTTAAGAACTTTTTAACAACGATATTTGAAAGCAGACGAAAAAGATTTATAACCAGCCATCACCTTGATTTTTATGAAGTTGCAATCGGTAAAAATCTATAAAAATAAAAAGGGATGTAAAAAGGACCAACTGAAATTTTATCCCAAAGGTGCAAACAATAAATAAAAGTAAATACAGATGATAAATTGTTGAAAAACAACAAAAAAAAAACACATTTCCACAATGATGAATTAGCTTAGCTGGCCGTTTTTTTTTAGTGAATATAGATTTGTGTCAGATTTGTGTGATTTATTGTGGACCTTTGTGTCTCTCTCCCTACCATTTGTATATATGGGATAAAATTACTCATTATTAATCAGTTATAAATATTGAAAAGAGTAATAAAGGCAAATAAAAAATAAAAATATTTGTTTACGCCAAAACAAAGCATTCCATAAATATTTTGAATATATTATAAACACACAATGAAATTTGTGATTATTTTGAAAATAAATCGTAATTAATATTCCAATTGAAGTATATTATAATAAACAGTTATTCAATGAATCATAACATATAAGAAAATAATATTAATTCACAAGTAATCGCTTAAAATATTTTAAACATGTTAAAAATAAGACTTATTGTTAGTAAGATTACAAATTTGTCTGGTTTATTAGAACAGCTTTGTCATTTATTCCACGAGTATAAAAATGGAAAAATCCCATAAAAATATTATGTTGTGCTAATTTTGAATAATAAAAAAAAATCGTCACGCTAATTAATAATTTGACCCATTAAGATAAATTTGAAACTGGCTACGTGATTTTCTGCAAATGTTTCTCTACAAGGTCAAAAGTGAATTCGATTGCGATGAAATACTAACCAATTGATTGATAATGAATTGATAATTTTCTATAATTATATTGTAATTTATTATAAACCTTGCATTATGAAATTAATTAAAAGATTTATATTCTATTCATTTTTATTTCAAATGATAACAATTTGCAAAGATTGATTAAAACATTATTTTGATTTGTTACGTATTATTAGCATCATGGATTATTAGTGAAATACTTATAATCGATTTATCTCGTATATCTGTGGAATACATATAAAAGTTATAAAAAAATATTTAAAACTTTTCACAATATTTGCAATACATTTGTAAATATTATAGAATACGAAAGGTATATTGTCAAGAAAACCAAAACGAAATCATAGCAAATACATAAATGCAGGGTTCAAATCCACATTTCGGACAAACTGATATCGGGGAATAAAGATATTCATTTTACTAGAGTATAAATAAAAATATATTTCCATGAATTAGCGACATTGCTACACTGAGTTGAAAATATATAACCACTATTAGAAAAACTACAAAAGAAAACTATTAGAAAATTTACAAAAGATATTGATGAACCGATTCTGCCGCTTTCTATGTTATGAAGAACTTCCATACTAATTGGTTCTAAATATTGATAAATGCCACGTGGTTGCTGTGCAGTCAGGTGTTTTTCTTATTTTGTCAAAAAGAAAACCTAACCTTAGATAACCGGGTTTTTCTGACCCAGCTTCATAACATATGATTGATGTTGCAGTTTATGTGTGAAACGCCTGAATGCACCGCAGATACATCACATTTAGCCAGTATTTAGTATGATTCAGTAGCATAATGTAGGCAAGTAGGAGCGAAACATGGTCTTGCCATAATATTGGTCTGTTGTGCGGCAGAATCGGCCCATGAATAAAGATAAGTTAGAAGGGCTGCTTTCTAAAAGAGTCACTTAGTAAAGTACCATCACAACAGATCATAAGACTTTTAAGTTCCGATTGTTGTTTTAAATAAAATAATGCAAAAGCAAAAAATACTTTCAAATTCTGCCTAAATATATTCAATCAGTATCAATTTTGTATTCATTATATTATTTGTTTCAGTTTTGACTGGAGTGGCACTAGTGTTTCTGTTCAGCATATTTACCTTCATCATAATGTGGTACACAGACGTCTTCAACACGACATTAGTAGCGGTAAGTGATTAACTTAATAGAAAATGCGATAGAAATTAATTCACCCATTACAGTTATCACTATACACTTGACCCATTAAACAAGACAACACTTTATGTCTTTTTGATTTCGCAATTTTGATAACCACTGAATAATGCCTTGAGACATTTTACTGCAAGCACACAGACCACTTTGTAAAATTGTCACGATATAGAAATATTAAGAAATAAAAATTTATATCTTCTAAATTTGTGTGTTCTAAATGTTAAGCCGATACATCAATTGCTTTTTTTTAATATTTAATATTCAGATAATATAAATATACACTAGATGGAATAACTACTGGCAAATCGTTTTCTTTATTGGCCTCGCTTACGTAGACCATTTAGCTATCAAAATTTTATTTTTATATATTCTATATCATCTTTTTATATTCTACACTATCTTCCATATATATTCTATACTATCTATCTTTTTATTTATTTTTATTATTCTATCTATTTCTTTAGCTCTTCGCAACTGATTTCTTCATTCTTTTTTTTCTTCTAAATCTGATCTTCTCGAATTCTAATCTTGCTTTTTCTTCTTACTTCTATATTTTACTCAAATTCAATTCAACTTAATTCTGATCTTCTCCAATTCTTATCTTTTCTTCCTTTCTTCTTACTTCTAGTTTTATTCAAATTCAATTCAATAATTCTAATTATTTTAATTTCAAATTAACTATTTTTAAATTTGACTTTTCATATCTACAATTCAATTTCTATAAAACTTTTCATATTTTTTTTATGTAATTGATGGGCAAATAGTTAAATTGTTCTGACTGAGCTTTTACACAAACATTTATTATGAAGTGTGTAAATAAATATTATCAAATTAAATGTCAAAAAATAAAGTTATTTTTTATTATTCTTTTATAACTTTTACAAGCATATGTAAAAAATGTATGCTTAACTGTAACCATTAAAAACACAAGGAAAATTTTGCGAACTTTTGTGAATGCCGTAAAACAATGTCTTAAACTCGCAAAAGCAATAAAATAGCATCCATGTAACACATTTAAATGACTTTATTCGCTTTTTGGCTGCTTTATTGCAATTTTTACTTCAATATTTAAATTATTATTTCAAAAATCTAATACGCCCTGTAATTAAAACAATCCTCATTTTTTTAAGTGTCGTAGCCATCGTACTAAAGCCTACATATTAATTAATTACCATATAAACATTTTTTATATTATTACTCTTTTAAAATGATATAATATAATCAACTCAGATGATTAAAATCAGGCACAAATACTGTGTTATTAGCGTTTGTATAACGTTTTAAAACAATGATTTAGTAGATTATTATTATATTAAAATAATGGGTAGTACTGCCTTTTCGTGAGTTAAATTCCAACTCGATTCAGGAAAGAAAAGTGTGAAAGATTTCACATTGTCAATTTGCACCGCAGTGGGCTGTCTTCAATTCAAAATAACTTTTTGATTTCTATTTTCAAGTGAAAATGGACATCGTTACTGCACGATGTAATTTGTCCAGAGCGGCTTCGAACCACCTGTCCACGCGAGTTCGTGAGCTTAACCATAACACCATGGAATAGATTATATTATATTCTACTAAAATTCTGATTTTCAGCAGAATCTCCATATTGCATTTCTTCAATTACATCTTGGAAGATCATCAGTAGTTGTCATTTTAAAATTCGCTAATTTTTTACTCGCCTGCAATAACTAGCCAATAAATTCTCCAGGTCATGTTAAGCACTTTAGAAACCCTTATATTTTGAATTCTCACCAAGAAAACATTTTTGTCTATGCTCTATGATTTTTTTAAAGTATTATTTGTATATAGAAGATAGGAACACACAGGAAAAAATTGAGTTAATGATGTTAGTATTAATTCATTACGGATATTTCTCAATTATAAAAAATAAATTGCTTTTTGCACTTATGAAAAAGAACTAAATCTCATTATGATATTATAGAACTTGACGTGGATAATACTGCCAATTTTTCATTCTTTACGTGAATCTTCCAAAACCCATATACATATTATACTACGTACATATTATATTTTCAATATTTACATAATTTTCGTACAAGAATGTGGATTCATCAACTTTTGCCAATTTGCAGTAATATCTATTATTGTATTAATATTTTTTAATTATTACAAATATTAAAGCATACTCGTGCATTATACAAATAAAAAATAATGGTAATTTGGGTTGTGAAAAACATCAATAAAATACATTTCCAATGCATCAGAGTATATTATTCGCATATCATAAAATATATGGATTGTATAACAGATATGTAAATTTTGTTTACTTTTTAACTACTTTGAAGTAAAGATAACCATAAATCAACATGTAAAAATATGTAAAATATGCAATTTCTTTGTGTACACAAACGTTCCAATAAATACATATTTAATAAGAAACTACTAATTAAACAAGACGATATTATTGCTGACGGTTCATTGATTTTCAATCTATTTACAATTTGTTTACAGAAATTTCCTGATAAATCTATATTTGCAAATTAATTTATATTTATCTTAACTACCATCAGTACTTTCGTGATAGATTTCTTAATTTTGTATTAAAGTAGATAGTTCAGACTGAAATATTACAGAAATTATTACTATGCTGAAAATGATTGAATTTAAAATATGATTAGATTATGTTTTTTAAATTACTATTGGACTTGAAAATAATTATTATTACTAGTATTTACTACTGGTTAAGGTAAATCGGGTAAATCATTGAACTTGAATAATCATGATTTTGAAATGTATAATTCTTTTGACAATAATACGATATTATCATCGAATAAGATGAAAATAAAGCTAATTATATCTTACTTTTCATTAAATAAACTAATATTTTAATTTAAAAAAATGAATAGAAAACATATATTGTTTAGACGTTTGTTCATTTAAACGTTACGCAAAAATGAAACGTATTTTATCTTAAATTAATATTATTTAGGTAATAGTTGCTAGACGTTATTATGAATATATTAAATGGGAATAGAGCGAAACTTAAAGGTCCGCGGGTAAAAAGGCCCACGACCAATATCTCAAAACTAGTTAGGAATTTTTTAATAACAATACTTGGAAGTACAGGGCAAAAGATGTGTAATCCATCGCCTTATATCAGAAGATAAAATTCCATTTTTGAAAATCTATCACAAAAGAATTTTCTTTTGTTATCATTTTTTTATACATACACATTATGTCACTTATATCTTTAAGATGTTTTTTTCTTGTCGCAAATTGAAGATAATTTTTACATTTGTTTTGGACCCAATATCTTTATCTTTTGCATATTTTCAGACACGAGTACTATCAAATGAAAGCCAGGCCTTCGAGTGGTGGACAAGACCTCCAGTAAAGCCAGTTATAAAAGTTCACATATTTAATTATACAAATGTTGACCGATGGAAGGCACGCATGGATGAAAAGTTGGTCGTAGAAGATGTAGGACCCTACGTCTATCAGTAAGTAGAAAAAAGTTGAATATATTTGTCATTACAATTGTACCGTTCACAGTAATTTATAAGTACTTACTTTTATCTAAATCTGGCAATATTAGTCAAATTGAGTAAATTGGGCAAATTGGGTAGCAGTTTGCCTAAGGCAGGATGCTTGAACTTCTTGATATATTGATAATTCGCGTTTTTTGTGTCTCATTCCATAACAAAAGTATTTTCTTTCCTAGATAGTTTTTTGGGTGTGAGCATTGTTGTTTAGTTTACCAGACCAAGTGATAAATTCTTGAAAATAAAATATTTGAAATCCGCACTTACCAGAAACCAAAATTTGTCTTCATACATACATACATACTTTGTCAATTTTTCTGCCTAATAATAAATGTGAATGCCTTGAATGAGAAACATAAAATTTGTGAAAAATAAATTTCTTCTTCTCTATGTGTTTATTTTATTATTTGTGCTTCTATCGGTAAGTTTTAGTTAATTTGCTTAAACAACGTTTTACACTTTCAAATTTAATAAATTAGCAAGTTACTTAAACATAACTCGAGTAATAACTATACATATTTTCGAATGAAATTTGTATGTATTAATTGGAACAAATTTCAAAATTTGATAAAAATCTGAGGCTCCTTATTTAGTATATTTAAAATATTAATTAAAATAGAAATAAAGCATTTCAAAATGTATACTTGTAATACAACTTTTAATTCTTTCTTCTAGGGAAACTTTAGAGCGAATCAACCCACGTTTTAGTTCTGATGGGACAGTTACATACCAGGAAAGGCGAAAGTATCACTTCGTGCCAGAAAAATCCACTGGACGGCAGTTTGATCAGTTGCATGTACCAAATCTACCGTTCTTAGTAAGTATTAATTACTTGTACTGTTTCATAAAAAGATATAACATAAAATACATCATATAATAATACAACTAGCATTAACAATCGTATAAAGAAACATTTATTGTGTTGTTATCAGGATCTATTCTATCGTCGTTGCTAATGTTTTTTTATTATTTTCAGCATAAAAATGAAAACAAAAAGAATTTATGACACTTAGCTAATATCGATTACCATTATTTAAAATACTGTCGGAAAATATGCACCACGTGCGATAATAATGTTGATTTACTAATGCACTATTATTTTGACATTTTTTATGAATTGTATGTCATTCATTAATATTTTTTAGACGCAATACTATAAATAAATATAAATTTTATGGATACATTTTTTACAAAAATAACACGTCAGAAATACTCATCAGCAGAGTTGAAATAACTATTTAATATATCTCTTGTAGAATTGCTTTTTTAAATTAAATTATTATTTTTTATTTACTATTGTTGAATGCTTGCCCCTTTGCCAGAGTAAAAGTTCAGTTGATCCTTTTCACCCCACCCCCGTGTTAGCTTTTATAGAGGTTATATAAAAAAAAAACTGTTGGATTTAAATTAAAATTAACTCCACCTCGTAAAAAAACAACAGTGCTTACTAAAAAAACTAACAATGAAATAAAATACTTCTGTTATGGATTTTCAAAAATTGCCGTTTATCTTCCGGTAGCAACGTGGTAATAAACAAGGTGATGATTGGTTGTACATTTTTTAACCTCTATTTCAAATATTGTTGTTAAAAAATTATTAATTTTAATTGTATTTGAAAAATTGGTGGTAAACTTTTTTAATAAATACACGTAACCCCTTTATAACACGGTACTTTTATAACACAGATTCGCTCTAGCATGGTTTAAAAATTGTTACCATCCCCCTTATAACACGATACTTTTAAAGCACGGGTTCGCTCTAACACGGTTTGAGAAAAAAACTTAATAAAATAAAGAATATAGTAAAACATGTGAAAATCAAACTTTATTTAATCTGAATTTAGTGAAATCGCAGTACAAAAATATTCTAATAAACAATGAGCACGGATTGGGCGCGGAGCCACCCATCCATCAACCTCGTAAACCTTGAAATCAAATAAATTCACCAACTTTAAATTTTTGTCACAATCTTGTTGACATATACTAACAATGTCTTTAAAGTTTCATTAAATTCGCAAAATGGGTTTTGGAGAACATACTATCTATTTAAATATTAGTCCATCAACCTCATAAATCTTGAAATCAATTAAATTTTCCAACATTAAATTTTTGTCACAATCTTGTTGAACTATAATAACAATGTCTTTTAAGTTTCATTAAAATCGCGAAATGGGTTTTTGGGAACATACTATCTGTTTAAATACTAGTATTAAACGCGGAGCCACCCATCCATCAACCTCGTAAACCTTGAAATCAAATAAATTTACAAACTTTAAATTTTTGTCAGAATCTTGTTTAACTATAATAACAATATCTTTTAAGTTTCATTAAATTCGCAAAATGGGTTTTTGAGAACATACTATCTGTTTAAATATTAGTATTGAGCGCGGAGCCATTCATCCATCAACCTCGTAAATCTTGAAATCAATTAAATTTACCAACTTCAATTTTTTGTCACAATCTTGTTAAGATTTCATATTTATTATTCTAATAAATAAATATTCTTGCTAATTTGATAGTTATTATTCGAGCGCTCTCGTTCTATAGAAAAAAATTCTAGGCTTATCCGAACAATTAGTTAGTTTAGTCTTAAACAAACATCCTAAAATGAGCATAAAATTTTAATAAAGATAACTTTGCATGTGGTAAATATATAAATATCTAAGCAAGTAATCTTCTTGCTAATATATAAATATCTAAGCAAGTAATCGCAAATATATTGTTTTTGCAAAACGGATCTCTGGTGGTACAGAAAACTGCTCAGAGGATGAGGATAGCTGGCAAAAAAATTTGACTATGTTGGATAGCACTTACTTGTTAACTATGACGAAAAAATTAATAACTATTACAGTGTTTACCATAAAATCATGATTTGTAGCTTTTGCTGAATTATTGGAACGTAACCCCTCTTTTTGTACTAGTTCTTTGTCCCGTATAACACGAATTCGCATAACACGCTACTTTTTTGGAACGTAACTACCGTGTTATTCGAGGGTTACTTGTACTACATTTATAATTTGTTCTCAGATTGCTTTGTCGATGTCGAAAGGTTCTTATTACGTGATGCGAGTCGCGCTGGACGCGGTGTTACGTTCAAACAACGCGGGGCCGTTTAAGGTGTTGCCTGCGCATAAATTCTTGTGGGGCTACGAAGATAAACTGGTAGATATGGCTAAGCCCTTTCTGAGTTTTAAGGAACCATTACCATTCGACAAATTTGGCGTTTTGGCAAATGTAAGTTTTAAGCAATATTATATTACTTATTATTAAACATACATTCGAAATTCAATTTAAGAATAAGATATATCGTACAACAGTTAAAAATTGAAAATCTAACTTATGTATTTAGCGTAATTAAAATTGATTAATTTACTATATAAAATTTAAATTAATTATTAGTCTGCATTATTCTAATTTGTCAATTTTAATTTCTAGCGCAATGGAACCTTGCCAGATGTGATAACGATTCATACTGGTGAACGTGGTATGCATCAGATAGGCGTAATTTCAAAATACAATGGCGAAAGCAAGATGGCACATTGGGGAACAGAAGAATGTAATAGGTAAATACTAAAAACACTTAACATAATTGTTTGAAATGCTGAATTAAACGCCACTGGAATAAAATATTAATATTACTGATGTAAAAGTTGAATATAGAAGAGTTGGGGCTTGAACTTCACGAAATTGGCAGACGCACAGTTCAAAAATCTTATTATCTTACGGTGGAGCATACTAAAATTATTATCAAAAAATATAATATTTATTTTATTGTCGCGACAACTGTTTCAAAGTATAAAATGACCAAACCAAAATAGTAATGAAACACCTCAAAAAGATTTTGAAAACTAGTAGGGCATGGCATCGTGCCTTAAGCAAAATTGCTGGAACTTTCCGTACCGTAATGAAATATTTGAAAAATATTAAATGCTTTCAGATAGACTATTATAAATACTGTAACATTTATTGTTCGTATTTTATAGACAAAATGTAAGAGCTTATAAATTCGACGACGACGTTTATATTATATTATATATTTATATGAAAATTAATAAACAAATCTTCACAAAGCGGAGTTAGAATGAAGGATCCTATCTCATATTTCTAAAAATTATATAATCTGAATTGCAAAGTTAAAACTATTTTTTTCTAGAATATAAGTGAGCTTTAAATTAAAATCCGAATTATTTTCGATATTCAAAAAAAAATTTTTTTTGGAAATAAAAAAAAAGATTTTTTTTTGCTTTTTCCAAAAATAATCGATTCGTCAATACAAGCAAAATCTGAATCATTCAAATTGGATGCTTCGTTCTATCAAAAATTGTATTTTTTTGCACATTAAGCTATAAAAAGACTAGTGAAACTCTCTCGATAATTGTTTAAATAAATTAACAATAGTAAAACAATTATGTAGAAAAATTGAAATATGTACTGGAAAACCAAAAAAAAAACGTTCGCATTGTGTAGCACAGTTTTTGCTCTCGATATTTTAGTGAACCTTATTGTCAGTAGAAGTTCGATTATATTATGCTATGCAATTTTCACTAATAATTTGTACTCAATTAATAAAAAATATTTATTTGAAATCATTTTTCTAATGAAAATTTTGTTATAATAATTTTTAGAATTGATGGCACAGATGGCAGCGCTTTTCCACCTTCAATGGTTGATAAGAAGAAAACTCTTTATATCTACAACAGTATAATGTGTAGAAGATTTCCTCTAGTTTTTGATGAAGAAGTTAATGTAAGTATAATTATATTGGACACATGCATTACAATACAATAATCTTTATTGAAAATTAAAACAATTGTTATTGATGGGACTGAGCCGTAAAGGTACAAAGCATTTTGGTGACGGCAGTTTTGTAACAAAAAAATCTAATTCGTGCACATATTTTGACCTTCTCAATTTCAATTTCAATTTCCTCTATGAATACTTTATATTGCGTAAATGTTTTCCAATACATTATCACAAATTGCAACCGTAGCGTCCCATATTGATTTGCATTTGCAAATCGCTTACATGTTACACTTTAAACAAGAGAAAGCTCTTGCGGGTAATTTTCCAATCATAAGTATTAGCAAATCAATTTTGTAAGCAGAAATGCGCAGTTTCCTTAATATTTGGAAATTATATAATGCATGTCGAATATTGTTCGATTGAATTAGAAAGCTTTCAAATATAAATATTATGGACAGTGCAGCAGTGCAGGTTTCTGATTGTGATAGACTTTATTTTATTACGCATTATGGCAAATTTTTCAATGTAAAAATTAATTGGTTATATCATTATTCCAAATTTTACAGTGTCATCTATTTGTCACTAAAGCGCTGAGATGTAAACTTTTGGGAGGCCGATGCTAGATTTGTGACATGCTTAACAAACTTGTTTTGCAGTTTTATAGACCAAGATGAATGCATAATTTGTATTTTTGAATCACTTTATTGCAAAGTTAACTATACGTAACAAAACAAATATTTTTATCTAGAAATTTACTGATTAAAACCCTCAGTTGATATAGACATTTTTCATAATTACATAAAGGGTGACTTATCCTAATGTTTCATGAAAGGCAACTCATCGGTTAACAATTCTCATATGTGTTACGATTATATCAGATATAAGCACTCTTTTTTTAAACTGTTTTTACAGTTTGTCATTGAAACCACATGTAAAAGTACGTATTTTTTTTAACTACTATTAATATTATAAACACAACTAGTTGTATTTTGCCTTAAGGCAAGTTACATGAACTTCCCGATACTTGCACATAAACATCATAATCAATATCAATTGAGATTCAACTATTAAGATAAAATAATGAACTCTTTATTTTGAAACAAAAATAAAAAAAACAACCCGAAGCAAATACGAGTCGAAACGAATCGAACAAGCATACTCTTCTCACAGCGTCAAGCGTATACCGTTTGGTATGGAACTATTGATTAGCGTTGATTGACGTTGACGATGTTTAAGTGTGGATTTAAACACAATACTTTTTATGACATAACGTAGAATGATATAAAACATGCTAAAACATTTTTTTAAAATTTATATAATTTCAGATTCAAATATTAAATAAAATTTTCAAATGTTTATAAATATCGCTTTCACTAAAAAATAATCAATAGCGCTTCAGCATAGATTCTGATTAGAATCCCTCATGAGGCGAAGTTCTAAACTTTGATGCTTTTTTATAATTCAACCGTTTATCGTAGGCCTATAATATCTTAGTATGTTATTTCATACTACGATATCAAGCGACATAAAAAGTTTCAAAAAAAAATTCAACATTTAATTACGAAGAAACGGCTACGCCGATCTTTACCAGAAACTAATTAACGCGATTCCCAACCAATATCTTTCGAAAAGTTTTTAAATTTTTAAAATCGTCTCAAAATTGTAAGCTAAAACGTGGACAAAGATTTTTACACTTTTCTGCTAATTATAAAGAAACATCTCGGCCAATCGTCGCGCTAATCTGGCCAAAAATAGTCCTCATCTAGATACATCGAATGGCTTTTGAAGTTTGGAAATCGATCTAGACGTTTTTGAGAAAACATTTATTCAGGTAATTCTTCAGACTTATTGTAAGAGCATTTTTTATCATATGAGACTTGAAAAATATCTGAATCAAGAAATCTAATCTAAGCTAATTAATAGCTTTACACTAATAAGGAAACTATGAGAAATTGTCTTTAGACTTCAAAGATTAAACAAATTAGTATTAGGATAATTTTATAAGGGTATTTTCTCGGTGGAATATCTCCAAACGTTATGTAACCATATAATAAAGTTATGGATATTATGTATTCTGACTTTCTCTCTTGCTAGGAGAACTTTAGGTTTAATGATTTTTCTGAACCTTTGCATGATAAGAGGTAAGAGCAGAATCAAACCTCTTGAGATATAACAGGCCTACAAAAAGTGGTTTAATTATAAAAAATAGAGTGCTTTTTATATTTAGTATATGTAGATTATAATGTCAGGTAAGAGTATGGATTGCGCAATTATAATTTCAATCTTACTATTAGTTTTAGGGCTCGTAGGTAAGCGGTTAAGAGCGACGGGACTTGTTTCAGAGGCCCCGGGTTCGATACCCACTTCGAGCAGCCTGTTGTCAGGCAACATTGACAATGATTTTCACTTTGAAATATAGATACCAATATGTTTCCAAGTGAAAATAGCCCTCACCCATCATTGCTGCACCATTAAAAATATTCGCCCTATTACAGAAATTGTAATAATAATATATCGAACAGAGATGTGACAACTGATTGGGTTGCCATCTGTCAAACAGACTGACAGACAGACAGTATTAAGTGAAAATCAGCACAACAGCTTATAGGACTATTAGGTTCTGATTGCCGTTCAAAAAGAAAATTATAAAAAAACTATTGGTTTTAAATAAACTCTAAAATAATAAATCCATATTGATCTATCCATGTGCTTATGATAAATTGTCATAATTATCTTTCCTTGCCGTGTAACGTGTCATCGGCCTATGTGAAATAACTACATTATGTATGTGGAATTAGAGATATATGGTCGCTCATGTATTATATTACGCAACATGCTATTTAATTTAATCCCATTCACAGGACGTTGGATCAGGTTTTATGCAACGGTGTTATGTCTTCACCTTTTCAACTATTTCTTCTGATAATTCTTCAATTAGGTACTGGTGGATGGATTGCTTTTGTTTGAAAACAGTCATGTAAATTGTTATATTCATTTGAAAAGTTCTATTCAAATATAATAAAATCGAATATCGACAAATACTCTATATACATGATTGTGAATAGTATGATATTTTTTCTTTGCTGACATTAGATATAAAATCTCGTTTACGCATTCACTATGTAGATATATCAGTAATTGTTTTTTGAATCCTATCTTCGAAGTTCAGAAAGTACACACTTGATGACGTATCGACCTGTAGTCCGAAAGTTTTACAGGCCAATTCTGCAGTAACATAGCCGATAACATAGCGTTGTGATGGCAACGGTATATTATCCTTCTTTCTTACTAGTACTATAAACAGCGAAAATGCTATATATTTCCTGTACGATCAGGCGTTTTCCACATGCAATCCTATGTTATAAATGCACATCGCAAAGATGCAGTTCTTTCTTTCTTTCTAGGTTTGTTTATATGTAAAATAAACCTGATCGTACAGGAAATAGATAGCATCTTCACAATTTTTAGTACCAAGAAAGAAAGATAAAATAACAATATAGCGTTGCCATAACAATCAGCCATGCTACCGCAGAATTGTCGCCTTTTTAATATACTAATTATTAAAATTATTTGATTTTACTTTTTGAATAAAATGTTATTAGTAGAATCAGAATGTATCCGCGTCTTATTCAAAGTCTCTTTTCTGTTCAAAGTCTGTAAATAATATGGAAATAAACTCGAAATATCTCTAGATTTTGAATAATTAGGTCTTTGAGGAGAAAAAGTAGAAATAATCTCAATTTCATAGTACTTAAAGTTGACGTTCAAATCATAAATTGAATCTTAACACATTTCTCCTTCACAGTCTAATATATTGTTCGAATTCATATCAAAAATAGATTAAAAAATAAAAAGTATGGGCAAGAACAACTTTGTTGTATATAGTTCTTCAATACTTAAAACGTAAATGCTGGATTTTACAGCTCTTTAACACATTCACTGTTGCGCACGCATATGTTGCGTGAGACCGTTGTCAATAGCCAGGCGCCGAATGCACGCAGACGTTCGCTTTTCTTGCACTTTGGAGTAGTGTTATTAGTAAAATAAATTGTTTAAGTTAAAGTTTTGTACTATAAATAATTCAAACAGAAGTAATCTTAATTATCCTATTTTGATTACAGCTAACATATCCAGAAATTGTTTTATTTTATATTAAGCGAATAAAAAAGTTTAGCACAAGAAATATAAGAAACGCAAGGCCGACTGTGAATGTGTTAAGATAATAAAAACTCTTAATATGAATAAAATTCCAACAAATCGAAAGTAAATTGAAATATGCGAAGCTTTAGCATTGAACAAATTATATAATTACTTTCTGGGTTCGAATACTTTATTGTAACATTTTATATCGATTTTATATAAAATTTGACTGTGATTTACCTGCAAATGTAGCAATGATGTGTAGCGCTGCGTTTTGCATACAAAATGGTACTAAAAACTGTCAAAAAGCTATGTATTTGCTGTGTGATCGGGCGATTTACTCATAAAATCTAACGTCTTGCATGTTTTATTGTAACACATCAGAAAGATGCATTTGTGATAAGATTCTTTTTGGACGAGGTATGATATCTAAAACGCCCGACTGCACAGCAACTACATAGCATTTGAAAAACGCAGCGTAACATAGCCTTGCTATAACATAGGTATATTTTACGGCAGAAATAGAAAGGTTGCACTCTTGTTTTTTAAGGAACGGACAATTTCAGCCACAGAAAATGAAAATAACAATTAATGTATTGAACATGTTTCTTATTATTATTTTCCAGGTGATGAAAGATATTCCTGCATTACGATATCGTGCACCCGAGAATGTGTTTGCGCACCCCGACAGCAATCCTAACAACCAATGCTACTGCCACATGGACAGCGGCAACTGCCCGCCCACTGGAATTTTCAATGCCACGCCTTGTGCTTACGGTAAATTAAAAACATATTCTATTTAAATAATTTATACTTTAGGGTTGTACTAAAATCAAAAGTTAAACTATATGGCATCGTGCCTTAAGACAAAATGCTGGAACTTTCCGTACTTGTCTTTCCAAAAATTAAAACAATTCTTGATAATATCAATACTCCGTTGACAACAAAATTGACATTCTTGTTACTTTTCAACCATATCTTTAAAACGGCTTGACCTGTCTCACCGAAAACTGAACAGCACGTCACCCCATCAATACGAATCGAATGTTTTTTGAATCATTCAAATCGAAGAATTCGTGCTCTCAAAATCGTGAACAAAAAATTGTATCCACACATACCCACAAACGTACTACATACACACACATACATATTCACACACATAAATCCATTTTTATAAGATATGCGCTATAATGTTCAGAAGGCCCTATATATATAAAAATGTTCTTTTACGATTTTTGGGTTATTACTATAACTTATACTACAGGAAGTTAATAAGTTGTTAAAATTGGGAACAGCATTTCTAGGCGTACTTGTTCGTAAGGTTCACACGATGATTAAACCAATATTTTTTAATTTTCGGAAACAAAATAATGAAAATATCAAATTCCGAGGCTCTTTTCTTTAACCAAAGTTCTACAAAAGCCGCAAAGCCAGTTGCTTTAAATTATACATCGATATGAACTTTAATCTCAAATAGCAAGTCCATGTGAGTGGCAACAACTTTTCAAACAAATGTAAAGTAACAACTTTTTAGAATAAATTATGTATTTTGCAATTATTATTAAAATGAATATTCAAATTCTTAATAATTTCATTCCATAAAATAGAATATCGCTGTATAAACAGGGACAGATCTCAGGACAAACCAATAGATCTAGGGTCTTAATTTTAAATTTAAAGGGATTTTACGAAAGAATAGCTAAATTGTTCAACCAATGCAGAATATAAATGTCATGGACACATTTTTGCAAAAATAATACTGCATATAACGTTGATCTGATATTTCGTCAAAAATATTTATCAGCGAAGTTGGAATAACTATTATCTCTTTTTGAATTGCCTTTTAAATGAATTAATTTTTTTATATACTAAATTTTTATTTTTTACAACATTGTCAGGGTGAAGTTTCAGATATTTTTTTTCCCATTCATATGTAAGCTTTTCTAAACAAATCTGATCAATCTAACTCAAATACAACAGTGCTCACAGCCAAAAAAATTAACAACGAGAGAAAATACTTTTGTTATAGATTTACAAACATGGCCGTTTATCTTGGGATAGCGACGTTGTTTGATTTAAGGCGATAGCTGGTTATACGTTTTTTACCCTCTACTTTCAAATATTGTTGTTAAAAAAATACAAACTTTACTTGTTATTGAGATATTGGTGGGGGGACGTTTTTACTCGCGGACCTTTAAGCCCCACTCTACCCTATTCCAATTAAATTAAATCCAAGACAATTAACTCGTTAATTAATTTTGACAAAATTAAAACGAATTTAATAAGTAGAAAATTTTGTTTGACTTACAGTGTATTATAAAATTGTATATTTAATCGATATATAAACGATTAAAAAAACAATAATCTTGTAATAGTTTTCTTACTGATATTATAAAATTACAGTTTATTTTTAATGTAAACAAAATTTTATAGCTGAAATAAAACTCTTACACAGTTCATAAATTACTGCTAACACATCAAAAATATTTTATACTAATTAAAATAGACAATATAACTAACTGCTATTTATAATAATAAAATGCATGAATATTAGTAATGATTACACATTAATTAGCGCAAAGTTATAAAATATTTATTATGTTTTCAACGTGTGGATTTCTGCATTCCAAAATGTGAATTATACCTTTTTCACCATTTGATTTTAATTTTTTGAACTAAATAATACGTTTAGAGTTCCATACAGATAAACCTGTTGAGTCAAAAAACTGTCTTGTCTGTCCGTCACTTTATTATAACCAATATTATTTAATTGACACAAAATAACTCTAAAGCTTTTATTTGCATTGTATAGTTTTAAACTACAATGAAAAGATTAACATATAAGATTAACATTTTATACGCTTGCTTTATCTATGTGCAAAATGTAATAGCTTAGGACACAAAATTAGTATCAGATTCATTTCATTCACAAAGTGATGAAACTTCATAGGACGTCTGGGTTTATACAATTATCTTTTATCATTTGTATTTTTGTTTTATTTAAATATCTACAAAAGAGAGTTCAATATTGTTAATTTTTTGTGCTTCTCATATTCGGTATTTGTTTTGAAAGTAAACCGATTGTTATATGACACTAACTGACAATACATGGTAGAGACAGCTTAAAATTTTTTACCTAAACCATATGACCCTTCTCAAAATGCATCGACGCTTGTGAGGTCACTGGGTGGGCAATGCGGGGCTCGTAAATATTGCTGGCAAATTCCGCTTAAGAGCTCGATTTTTTTTTACTTGGTCAAATATGGTAATAAATTAAAACTACAAATATGGAAACTATGAGATCTAAATAAATGAAAACAATATTATTTTAAGTCGCAGTTAGAATCTACACTTGAGGCAAATAATTTTATTGCACAAATGACTATAAATTTTTTTCGCGCTGTCTTTGCTTGATATTCATAACACGTGTTGCGCTATGTAATTAGAAAAAATATATTGGCCGAGAAAAAAAAACAGACCATTAAGATCTTATTGACGCGTGTAAGAGTTGACGTCCTTTAAACACTTTTCTTGTTTTGCATTCAAATTATTAATAATTTTCCTGTTTACTTGCTTTGTAAAAATCATATTTTATTATTGCAACACATTATAACTAATGAGATCTTTCTCGTGGAAGAATACCGCGTGCTTTATTATATTCTAGTCTAGAATTTCTAGGCGCAGCTTTTAGATTTATTAGAATTAAATCTCAGTAATTCAGTATATATAATATATCGAAAAACTTGTTCTATTGTTCTATTTGTTACTGCAATTGTATTTCTAGCCTTAAAATGACAACTTGACTACTCATACAACTTTACTTACTTATACAGTCAAAGTATTACTTATATAGTTACTTATTTCACATTTCGAAATTGATTAAAACTATTACAATATAAATACAATTTGTAAAAACAGAGTCGATAGAAATACTCTCTGAAATCTATGAAATAGAACTATATAACGAACTCAGTTGTCCATTAGAGCAAGTTATTTAAAACATTATAATCATTTTGGAATAAAGTATAAATATATGGAAATTGAATAACTTGAGTATGCAAGATTTAAAATCTTTGAAAAATTAAAAATATGATTTTAAAAAAAATATTGAATTCAAATTATTACAAATGTTTCCTTAGGAGCTCCGATTTTTGCATCGTTCCCGCATTTCTATATGGGTGACCCAGACCTCTTGGAACCATTCGAAGGCTTAAATCCCGAAGAAGAAAAACATAGTACGTTCATTGACTTACATCCACGATTGGGTTTCCCGCTTGCAGGAGCATCCAGATTCCAGTTAAACATTCAAGTAAGATATCAAAACATAGAGAAATTAGAATTCAGCTTGAACAAGTTTCTAGTTAATATCACCAACACTCTCCAATTATTATCTATAATACTGTCAGGAATATATTGGTTCATAGACTTTTTTGGTCCGATTGTCACAATTATTTTTTTTATATTATTTAAATAGTCTCAATTTTTTTTCACTAATTTTTCAATTATTTTAATATAATAAGTTCTAATAATCTTATCTGTGATTGTGTAAAAATGAGTAGTTGTACTATTGATTTAGCTTTTATAATTTAAAATGCACATGCTACTTTTCTGATTAAGATATAAAACATTTGCCAGAACATTTTCAATTTACCACCAAATTGAGCACAAAATTATGTTAAGATTAGTAAGATAATGGAAAACAAAGTTTATTGTTAGCATAAGTAGCTACTCAAGATCGCATATGTAATTGTTGAATAATATCATTTCCCAGGTGCAATAGTTTAGTAGCGCATTCTTAATTTTTTAATGATTTTTTCTTATGTTGCAGGTCCAAAAATCCTCTGGTATATCCGGAATTGAAAGATTCAAAGACAACATGTATCTTCCAGTAATTTGGATCGAATTCGTAAGTAAATATTTTAATATATTTTTACTTAAGCAATTTCATTAATATGAACTCGAATAACTAAATTCTACTGTCAAAGAAATTTAAATCATAATCTATAAAATAAAAAAAATCGTTTCAAATTAAACTAAAAAGTGGTAAAGTAAAGTAAGTAAATATATTAGTTTTTGTCATATTTACTAACTCAAAAAATGGAAAGGTAGAAATTTGTAAACTATTTATAATTGTTCTATCACAAAAAGTTTTAGAGCAAATTATCACACTAGAATATAATTTTTATCTGCGAATAAAAAAAGAAATTGGGTCGCAAATTTTTGCCCGCGCGAATAAGGAATTCTACTGAATTATAAATATATAATCAATTTTTAATGATACAATATAAGTGCATAAACTATTTTTAATTATTTGATATAAGGCATAAACTATTTTTAATCATATGATATAGGTGAGTATTATTGATTATAGACAATGGAATTCATATCCGAATATTTAATAAACAAGACACAAATTTTTGTTTTCTAAAACAATTCAATAGGCCGATTGTTCTAGACGGATGTATAAATACAAACATCGAAGCTATTCCATTGTTAATCTGAAAATTTGATCACGGTGTTCCATAGAAAAGTCATTATCAATCAATCGTGCTAATTACATGCATATCTATTGAAATTAATATTTGTTTTATTTATGCATAATCTAAAACGACAGCAAAAGGTTATCAAATCTATTTAATATTTATGAGAATTTAGAATTTTCTTGATGTTTACTGGAATTTAATTTACTAATCTTGCATTTAAGTGTGGCGTGATATCGATAAAATTTGTTTTGCGTTTTATAGTTATTTATTTTACAAAATGATAAACAAACTTGTGATATAAATTGTATTTGTTATAATTATTGATCGTTTTATATGATAATTAAATACGATTAGAAATATATAATATAACAATAAAATTGTGAATCATTTGTTTGTATAATTGTACAATAAATTTGGTCATATTTTTATGAAATATAACTTGATATTTTAAAATAAAATTAATAATAATTCTCATAATTTTATATAGTATTTTAAATACGTTTGATAACAATAATTATATTGTTACAAACACACAAAAAGTGAGTTTGTTCAAAAACCAATCGTTTTACGCCGAACCTAAATTGCAACAGACTTTCTATAAAACGCGATTGATGAATGACTCTAAAAACATAAATGACTCTAGTAACTAGATATTGAAAAAAGCTTTAATATAGCTTTTATTATCATTTTTATTATTATTTTACATTCTACAATATGTTCATACAAACATGTCAGTTTATATCTTAGCTGTTAACGACATTGGTTTTAGTAATGTCAGAGCTCTATCACCGAATGTTAGTCTTTCTTACAAAAATACTGCTTGAAAATCTTTTGTTCGAAAACAGTTTTTTAGTTTATCCTGATATAAACTCTTCAATTCAATTAAACTGGTTTATATTTTTATCATAATTCCATCTTGTGTCCCGGGTTTTCTAAAAGCAACATTTGTCCCACATTTAAAAGGTATAGGTTTAAATTGTATTTTTAAATATGAAACAATACGTTATGAATGAGAAAATTACTGAATACAAATTTCCAAAAGCAGGGTTAAATAGCCGCTGATACTAGTAAGTTCTAACTTTTATTTTCATTTTCACGAAAATTATCAAAAATTATGAAAGTTACCGTTTTGACTACTTCGCACAAGTGCCAATGTTTTCAATTTAATTATGAAACAAATTAAACAAAATTTTATACAATACTCAAAAGCAAAAAAACATGAATCAAAAAATATAAGATATAACATTATAGACAAAAGAAGAGTATACATATATAACATATAATAAAATAGTAAAGTTTTTATTAGAAATCCGTAATTCTGGTTCAGAAGCAATTGATTAATTAAAAAACTCTTGTATTGTATTTTTAACTAGCTGAAAGTGGAATTCTGTCTTAAGGCAATTAAGGCATCGTGCCTTAAGGCAAATTGCAGGAACTTCCCGTACCAAAAATTATTATTTTTTTAAAAACGATTAACATTTTTGAAAAAAATTTACTATAAATTGGACAAAAAATTACTTTTTTTGAATTTTTTTTTTTTTTGAATTTTTTTTTTTTTTGAAAAAAAAATCTATTTTCTTTATTTTGACATATTGTGGAAGATCTGAACTATTTTTCAAAGCAATCGTACTGCTTTAACTGCATAGGGACAAAATATAAAGCGCGTAAGCGCCGCGTCGCTGTCTAACGCATAAGCATTGGTACGGAACCCATAGGAATATTAACAAAATGTATACTTATTGTTAAAATCTCTATAAAATATCTGATAATTTGATGTGCATATGTCTATAATGATCATTTTTGACCGCCAAATGGTTCGTTTTTTTACTTTTTCCTCCATATCTCCGAAACCGCTAGACCTACCTTCATGAAAATTTTATCGATTCTTCATCTTGTCAATACAAGTAAAATGTTTTTTGAATTATTCAAATCGGACGCTCCGTTCTCTTAAAAACTGAGTTACCATTTTCGGTACTTTTTGCCCCGTATCTTCGGAACGGCTAGACCTGCCTTTGCCAAAAACTAATCAGCACGTCTCCTTATCAATACGAATCGAATGTTTTTTGAATTATTCAAATCGGTTGATTCGTGTTCCCGAAATCGTCGACGAAAATTTGTATCCGCACATACATACACACACGTACATACATACATACATACATACACACACACACACACACACACACATACACACACACACACACACACATACATCCATTTTTTCTAAGGGATGCCAAAATGTTCAGAAACCTCTGAAACGTAAAGATATATAAAAATTTTCATTTTCGATTTTTTTGCGATTACTATAACTTGCCCTACGGGAAGTTAAATATTAGGATTTTTCTTGTTAACTTTCCCTAGGGTGAGTTATATAATCGCACACAAGGTCTTCAAAACATTTCAAGGTCGTTAGAACATTTTAAGGTCTTCTGAACATTTTGGCATACTTTAGGAAAAATGGATGTTTGTGTGTGCGTGTGTATATGATATGCGGATACATATTTTCGTCGACGATTTCGGGAACACGGTTCAACCAATTTCAATTATTCAAAAAACGATTATTATTGATAAGGATTATTCGATTCGTATTGATAAGGAGACGTGCTGACTAGTTTTTGGTTTTACGGGAATACGGGGCAAGAAGTGCAAAAAATGGTAACTCAGTTTTTAAGAGAACGGAGCGTCCGATTTTAATATTTCAAAAAACATTTTATTTGTATGTATCGATTTGGCAATATAAAGAACTAATTAAATTTTTGGGAAGGCAGGTCTAGCGGTTTCGGAGATCTAGTAAAAAAAAGAAAAAAAAAAGCTTTTTGGCGGTCAAAAACGATCATTAGACATATGCACATCGAATTATCAGATATATTATAGAGATTTTAATAATACGTATATATTTGGTTTACATTTCTATGGGTTCCGTAACATTATTTGTCAGTTAGACGGCGTCGCGGCGCTTACGCGCTTTGATATTTTGTCTCTATGCAGCTAAAGCAGTGCGATTGCTTTGAAAAAAAGTTCAAAATTTTCAAAATATTTTAAAATAGAGAAAACATTTTCTTTGTTTGTTTATCAAAAAAGTAATTTTTTTTAAAATTCAAAATTTCTCCAAAAACTGATTTTTTCAAAGTTCAAAAAAATTTTTAATCTTTTTTAAAAAAAATATTTTTTGGTACGGGAAGTTCCCCACCCCCATCTGCCCGGGTTAGGATCACTAAAAATTGCCGTCCCAGTTTTGACTCAAAACTATTTCCACAGAACTGCGATTTACTTCTCATCATTTTGAATATATATTTTCTTATTATATAGTATTAAATCTATATTTTATCTATATATATAATATTATTAGTTATGTCTTCATATGTATTTCTTGCTCTGTATTTTTCTTTTTATATTGACAATCAATTGCATTCTTTTTTTACAATGAAATTAAACTTTCTAATTTTTGCCCGAATTTTGCAGATTTATATGTTCTTAAAATCGTATCCAAAAATTATTTTTCTTACCTCTCTCCGAAGCACCCAAAACATCCCAAATGTTTTGTCAAGAGCCAGTCCAGATTGATGTACAATTTCACTCATCATTTATCATAACCTCAAATCATTTTTTGTATCAAATACTAGTTCGTTCACTGTATATTTAACTATATCTCATACTTTACTAACAATAAATTTAAATAAACTGGTGAATTTTGATTTTTTTATTCACAAAACTAATAAAAGTTTGGTGCACAGTACACTTAATGTTCTCTTGTGGTCCAGGAACGATCCGTTCCCTAGGAGTATCACGTGATCATAGACAATGCACAATGAACGTTATTAGACACCGAACGTATTGGCTCTGGTGATCTTTTGTTCGTCAAAAAGAGAGAGAGAGCAGCATATAGAATTTGTTGCGTAATATATATGTAGGATAGAGCGGGGCTTGAAGGTCCGAGGGGAAAAAGTCGACCAACAATAATATCCCAAAAACAAGTAAAGTTAAGATTTTTCTAACAACAATATTTGAAAGTACAGGTCAAGAGATGTGTAACCAGCCATTGCCTTGCATCAAGCAACATCGATATCAAGAGATAAATGGCTATGTTTAAAAATTTATGACAAAAGTATTCTGTTCTTTCGTTGTTAGTTTTTTTGGTTGTGAGCACTGTTATCAAGTTTACGAGACTTTACTATTATATTTAAGTATACGATATTTAGTTGTCTTATAAGCTTTATTGTTATTTTTAACTATTTTTTTTATATATCCTTTATAAAAGATTACATATGGGTGGGGTAAAAAGGACCAACTAAAACTTTACCCCGGAAAAGGTGTAAACAATAAGAAAATAGTAAAAAAGTAAATTAAGTTAATTATAATAGAGACCAATTAAATTAATAGTTCATCAACTATCAATTAATAGTTCATATCCATCAACTCTGCT